GCTATTCACTAATTGGATTGTTAGGGCTCTAGAAGGAGGAATTCATTTGTATATTTTTCTGTATCTTATTGGCTATTACATCTCTGGATGTAGTTCTTGTTTTTGGATAATTAGGATAATTAATAATTTAATAAGGATAACACATTATGTTTTGGATATAGCTACATAGTTTCGTAGCTGAATTACAAAAAAATTAACGTATCTAATAATAATTGAATAGATTTGGGTTTGATTTACATGGACAAAAATGTAGTAAATAATAAGAAAATTAATTAGCTACGTATACATCATTGAAAAATATTCAGAAAATAAAACAGAAAGTAATTACTATAAAATTATAAAAAATGGGAAAGCTTGGTATTGTCACCATATAGTAAAAGAAATAAGAATACAATTTTAAAATTGCTCAAGTGAATGTACGAAAATAAGAAGCTTAGACTACATTCTATTTTTAGAAATATTAGAAAAAAAATCACAGGATAAAAATGGTTGTTTAAGCTAATTTGAATTTTAATAGTCGTTTTTCTCTGTTTGGGGAAGGGGGAATCAACAACAATACAAAATAATATTACATAATTTTTATAGTTTTCAATTTCACGTCCCAATTGATAATACCGTGTTTTGTGCGCGCAAATCTCAAATTCAATAATTACATTTTATAACTGCAAAATAATACATTTAAGTACCCTAATTAATATACATTGAAGTTAATTATTAATAGGTTAAGTTATAAATCTAGATATCTGTTGATTTAAAATTACAGCTGCATATTTGTTTACAAGATTTAACATTGTATTACTTTTGACAACATATAGACACAAGAAAAAAAACTTTTAGTTAATGACGATAATAATAATAGTAATAATCTAATATATAGCTTCGTTTATAGTAGGAAATCTGGTTGCTACGGTAACAAGTTCTTCTACTCCCACACACAGCGTGACATAACAACAGTTTTCACTATTATACCCGCCGAGATAAATGAGAAAGGCTTTTTAAGCTTCTAAATGCCGAGACCATTGTATTAAGCTCGATGGGTTTAGTTGGATGGATGTATTGTTTATGGTAAGACCAAGAAAAATGAATAAAAGAATCATACTATCATGTAAACTATTAAAGAAAAAAAGAATAAATAGCAATAATTTAAATCATATAATAGTAATGGTCAATGTGAAATAAAACGAAATGCCTTTTGTATACTTTTTAAAACTCGTATATTTCATCCTTAAACTAATTTTGGACAGTAAATGTCATAATTCGTTTATTTATTAAGCTATATTTAATTTTTAAGTATTTTCAAAAAAGAAATAGAAACTAGCCAAAACAAACTCTACCGTAATTCTTATTAAGCTACTTTTCCAAAATGCATTATGGCTTAAGTTTTAATATCTCTTCTTTTATCATTAAACATTCAAGATATCGAATATTAAAATAATAATTTATTTGAAATAATTTAACGTAACGAAGGACTTGGGATAGTTTCGCAACAATCGTAAGAATTTTTTAACAGTAATAAAAGATTAATTTCACCCTAGGGTTAAATTAAATATAGTCATTCTGAACACTTTTTTTAATTGTACATTTGTTTATACAGTATGATTTATAAAGATTACTACCTACGATTTTCTTATTAAGTTATACAGAATAAAGATTTATTTAATTATATGGACCTAATTAAATATCAAGATAATTGTAAAAAAAAGTCATTTTCAAACAGGCAGTTTTTAGTGGTCTTAAAAACTTAAAGGGGTATTACAATCATTGTTATACAAACAAATGGTGAATATGTTAATTAAAATTTGATATGGTAGATAACTAGTATTTAATTATTACTTTTTAAGATAATATTGTTTCAAGATTTTTCAAAGTTAGGAATAAGGTAGTGTTTAACCATGGACTGTATTTATTATAACACACGGATAGGAATACTAATAATATTCATAACCCCTAGTCTGTATCTAAAAATGATAGTAACTATTAAAATTATTAAAAACTGATTTTTAATTGAATCAAATAAATTAAATAAATATAGATAGGATTTCATAATTATCGTCAATAATAATGACAATTAATAATATATAAATATAAAACAAGCGAAATTAAAATATTTGATATTACGAATAGTGTAGAAATTGTAAAAATTATAATTAATATATTTATTAACGTAAACAAAATGTTGCTATTTATTTTTATATAATATTTAAGTATTAAAAATTTGAATTCATAATAAAAAAATGTCCTTTGATTTTATTTTAATACATATTTTCCATATATTAATATAAATTGTCCTTAAGTAAAGTGATCCTAATTTAAAAATAACATTCTAATTGTTCCTATATTGATGATACTCATTTAGTAAATAACTATTTCACTTCTCTACTATAGTATTCTAATATTATTTTACATTGATTTAGTATAACAGTTTTTTCAGAAGAATCATCAATTAGTGACTCTTAAAATCTTAGAAATCTCTTAAAATATACTAAGTATCATTCTTAACTTTAAAACCCATCAAAATGGCCTAACAGATTCACTAAATTATTCAGTCGTCCTTTTATTCACTTCTTAATGGATTTCTACATTTACACAAATTCAGATTTGATGTGTTTTCTTTTTTTTTTTGTATACTTCAACCCGTATTAAATAATATTTTAATGTCTTTAATATTTCAAGTGTCTATTTGATTTCTTAGTTTTGTATTTTTAGTATGCAAAATAATATACAAAACCTTATAGATTAAATTTTATATTGTAAAGAATAAACAAATATTGTAATCATAACAACTATGATGGTTTTGGTATGTTTAATTAAATGTTTAAAAAACTTGATTTAAAATGCCCTTTGAGGACTCCTGCGGGACGCTGTAGGGCTTTGGATTTTGCAGTAATTATAAAAAAAATGTAATTAATCTCTGTGCCTGAAAACACAGTTATCTGAATATAAATTATTCTGTTAAAAATATATTTTATACAATTCCTCTCACGTAAAAATATATTTATTCATAAGCTCTTGGAGTAACAAAGATTTTATATTTTCTAAACTATTATTAATGAACTCAAAAAGTTTACACATAAAATTATTATTGATTGAGTAAACACATACGGAATAATATAATAACATATAAATTAAATCTTTGCCGATTAATTTCCTCCTATATATATTTGATTTTTGATTATTGGCAATATATTGTAGGGGATATTGTGATAAAGCAGAGAGTCCGGACAAAGTGAATAATTTTGTATCTCAAAATGTAAATTTTGTAAACGTTAACTGGAATTACCGTGTGATATCTTGTCAGGATACCATTTATTTGGCGATTATTTATTAATAATTTTTCGGAAAATTATTTGTCTTAAAAAAAATGTCTTGATGAGAAAAACAATAATTTTTTTAATAATAGAATAATTTTTTTTTGTCGATGAATTACATTTCATAATAGTAATTAAACAGTTGTTGGTTTTATATATTCAATGATCTACGTGTAATTAATTGACTGTAATTATAGTTATAAATGTTTTATTTTAAAAAAATGGGTTCAGGCAAAGTGAATAAATACAATTTGGCGGGTTAAAACAATTATTTAAGTTAAACCGTTACGGAGGTATCTATTAATGAAATTGATTGAAAAATTCTTAGTCTAAGATACATTTAAAATATTTTATTCGATGTTTCACATTGCTAAAGTTTCTATTAGTCAGTAACAAAACTATTTTAATTGAAAATGTGGAAGTAAGTTTCTTTGCGTGTAAAAGATAAAAAAGCGATTTTTAATTTTCAAATAAGATAAATTTTATTGGAATAAATTGAAATCATTTAAAATATATATATATTACTGGAGTATTTGGGCAAAGTAAAATATTTTTAATTTTTAAAAAAGATATTTAACATTCTAATAATAAGTTATTACACATGAATATAAAATAACTTTTAATAGAAAAATTTAAAATTTGAGATGATTTTACAATTTTAATATTCATTAAATAATGTTGGGTAACAACACTTTATAAGTTTCTTGCTCCTAAACTTAACCTATCCGATTTACTTGAGCTTCCTCTATATTATCTTAAAATAAACATTTTTTACTTGTTTTTAAAATGTCTATAGCATCTAAATTACAAAATGTCTAAAGTATGCTTTAATTTTAAGATTGTTATACTCTTTAATAATCTTCTTTTCAAAATTTGTTCTCTACATCATATTTCATGTTGCCGTTATGTGTTCACTAGTGTTGAACAAATCCAAAAAAAAAACTTTGAGAACGAGAAACTTGAAGATCAAATAACGAACTTAAGTAACAACTCTCTAACATTACCTTGCTAAACTTAATAGCAGCAAAATATATTCCGTATTTTAGTACTGAGCAAGTCTTTTTTTATTCGCGTAACTCAACACTTTATCAACTACAATTTAATTAATTGAATCTTAACCCCATAGGCAATAATTCATCGTTTTCGCGACACTATAATACATATTAACCCAAATGCCAACTTGTCAATTAAGAATAAATATAGAATTTCAATAAAGTTATACTAGTTGCTTTTAATGTATTAGTTACCAATTTTAGTGTCATACTCATGGAACATGACTTTTTTAACTGCCATCGATAAGTAGTGTTCATTACATTTTTAGTTTAAAGATTCAACTTAAAAACAAATGAAACATTATTAATGTACAATTTTTAGCTATTATTAAAATAATGGTAGCTGTTCAACCATTAAAACTAAAATTTATTCATATGGATTTTTTTTTAATTAATTTTAATGTTTGCGCAATAAAAATTATTTAGCGTAGTAATAAAAATTTATTTAAAAACGATATTCTATTTAAAATTACAATTATTGTGTCAAAACGATAATTATTTAAAATGTTTGTTATGAAATTTTGAGTAGAGTTATTTCTGTATCGCATGTTCCAACATTTTTAATTAAAAAAAATTAATTGTCACATTAAAATGTAACCTCATAGTTAATAAAATTATTTAATACAAACACTATACTTACAAATGCAGTCACGATGAATGTACACAAGCTAATCCAACAAGTGGCGAATAATCGGTAGAACGTTCGAGCTGCAACTATACAGCAGTTTCCCTAAACAGGTGGCGATCTACGTGCCGCCCATCCACCCACATGAAAGTACAACAATATGGTCTGACGTCACACTTCGGCGCCGACTATAAACTCGATAATAACGAATTTTTTTTGGCCCTCATCATGTTGACGTCTTTTTGTTATTGTCGTCGTGTCCAAATATTATCGAACAAGTGTAATGAAAAAATTGAGTTTTCTTCATGTAATAGTTATTCTGTGTTGAATGGAAAAAAACGAGCACACAATAATTGAATATCAATTCTTTGCTCGTTGTCTTATACATACGATTTTTAAATAGCAATTCTAACTTTTTACTCTTAAGAATAACACTAAAAAAAAAAAGGTAATTGGTTTAATTCTATGCAATTTCTCAATAAGTCTAATTTGGAATAAGTTGGCCAAATAAGAAATACCTTTTTCTGCAAAAGATAAATACATTCTGTACAAATTATTCATTCATTTGCAAATTAATTAAATTCAACTGTAACTATGTTACAATACTTATTATAATACTTGAAATTTGTACTCGTTTGGTTCTCGGACAATAGATTTTTTATATCACATTTATATTTTCTAAAGGAGTAGTAATAATTATTTTTTAACATTATTTTGAATTTACCAACTATATAAATAATTCAGCAAAATTGAAAAGTATAGTTAATTTATTTAACTATCGTTAATGGGTGTGAAAAAAAAATTTTTAGGTCTTCCCAATTTTAAACATAAAAATGTTCCCACAATAATTATGAAAATGTTAAAACGTAATTGTGGAAAAGGAACACTTTAGATTTTTAACACATGTTTGATTTGATTTTAAGCATATATTAAGTTATATATAAGACAAATATTTTTCATTTAAAGAATCTATTTGTATTGTATGTACTTATCCTTATGTATATTAATGTGAGCTTACATTAATTGTATGAGTTTTTTTATACCATTTTGATTATTATATTTTTCATGAATGTGTTAAAGTTTTACTATTTCTATAAGAAATAGAATCTAATTATGATTCTAGATAAATTATTACAAATTATGGAGATTAAAAAAAATACAAAGAAAACCTTTTTTTATTTTTAATTTTTTTACTTATGGGTAAAATTGTAACGAGACAATTATGAAGAATTCTATAGAGTGATCAGTGAGCAAGGAAATGGGATTCTATTGTTTATAAAAATTGAACTGTTTCCTTACTGAACACCATATATTGTCAAATTAAAATGTAATCCTTTTTACTAATTAAAAACACTAAAATAAATTATACAGTGATAAAATATTGACTGATCAAATTTGTTTTTTTAATTTTTAAGGAAATATGTTATAATACAAATAATACTTAATATAAGTTCATTTGATTTTGGTAATATTCCTTTAACAAACATTAACAAATAGTTACAGTGTATTATGGAAAATTTAAATATTTCATATGTAACAATAATAATTATTGTTGTTGCACTAGTATTTAAAGTATTAATTATTTGCCTTTTAAAAAGTAGTGTATTCAGTAATTAAAAATAAACGACGTATACGTTTTAGTTGCTAAACCAAAAATCAAAATCAAAAGTAAAACATGATAAAAGATTAAACATTTTAACGATAAATCTACAGGATTATTAGTAAGTTTACTTAAGGAACTGAATCTTTATGAAGATTAAAGACCTAAGAGTACTTAAGCCAACTAACTTAATCTGAAACTCTATTACCCAATTTAGAGTTAACTATTGACCCTTTTAATTATTTAGGTCATTTATCAATTATCTACACACCAAAAACCATAGAAAAAAGATTCTGCCAAAACTTTGTTAAAAACTCTGTCAAATTAAACGCATGGTTAATTTACAGAAACTTTTAAATAAAAATACCGTGTTAAATCTATTAATGAATTGATTAATGTTGCATTTCAGTTATGTTAGCTATGTTAATTAAATTATTATAAAATTAAATTTTAATTATTAAAATATTTATTAATGAATTTTTTGTTTATGTGTCTTTCGTCATTTTAGAGTCCTTTAATTTGAAAAAATACATATTTCACACAAAAAAGTTAAGGACGTATTTTTCAAGGGGATGCAAACTTTTTATAAACGTCAATATTCACCAATTTTATTATTCAAAGAACCTTTTTTTTTTTATTTTTGTAGATGACGATAGTTTAAAGAGAATTTGTGCATCTCTTGTGCTCTCCCTTGAATTTGCCACTACTATAAAGATGAACTAAAATTAGCTTTGTTAATTGTATGCATTTTTAAAAATGTTATCATGTTTATTTCGAATATTATCTTTTTGTGTAATTCAACATAAAAAGAGAGTTTTATGTTCCATTTATTTGTGGAAATATTTCTATCTAAAACCCTTGAGGTTGTCACAAATCAAATTATTTTGGTTGAATTTCATTTAGTAAAATAAAAAAATAACTCTTAGATCTCCTAAAGTTGATTTTTATGGTATGGTTAACGTGATAGCCGAGTAGGAGTGCAATGATACAATACGTTTGAACATCTGCATTGTAATATTTTGAAACGAGTTAAATGTTTATTAATTAATTTTACTATAAAATGTCATTTAAGTTTTTTAAGAGTTTCTATTTTTGAACTCTTGAATAATTGTAAATTAGTATTTTGGTTTTTCAGTTTTAAAAAAATATTTTAGATAAAATTTTAAATTTTGAAGAACATTTTTAGGTTATAAAGATATTCTTTAAAAAAATTTCGATAAATTTTTAATGTATTAGTGTATCATTTTTCTAGTCCTACTAATTTTAATTAGTAGGGCTAATATTATTGAAAAAATAATTGTATCAATTATATGATTCATTCATAATAAAATGGAAATGTTTTTAATTTTTTCAAAAATCATACAAATTTATGGTTTTGGTAAAAAAAAGTATAATTTATGATATATATAGTTTTGAATATTATTTAGGGTAAAATTTAATGGTGTAGTAGAAGTCATTGTATGAATCGTTAGAAAAATTTTTCATTATTAAACTGATTTTTAATAAGAAATAATTGTCAGAGGTGCATAGACTTCTTTAGTCAATGAAGCAACAATGTGAAGATTTAATAAAATTATTTTAAGATAACAAAATTCGATTAATTGCGACTCAAGTGGTTTAGCATATTTGACTATTATTTATTATTCAAGGTATGTAAATTATCATAATGTCAGCTTTATTTTATATACTTCAGGTAATTAAGCATTGAATTTAAAAAAAACTTAACAGTTTATAAGAAATAGTGGCGAGTTTAAATGTAAAATTGAGATTCATATCTTTCCCGGTCTGATAAGTAAAAATATATTATTAAGTTCTTTATTCAAGCTTAGAGTTACCAATGTTCCTCTAAATCAATATAAAAAAAAATTGTTAAATTTTAACAGTTCACGCATGTCACTGTTGTCGATCTTTTTAAAATGATAATCAAAATAACTATTTTAGATAATTAAGCAATAAAAAACTATTCCAATTAAAAAATTATTAAAATTACATATATTTGTAATTAAAAATGAAAAACAAAATCCTATTCTAATACTATTTTACAAAGGGGTCCAAAAGATCCGGAATGCCTAATTGTGCCATTTAGGAGCATGCTGTATTTTACAGCACTTGAAAAATTAATCTTGCCTTGGTTTGCTAAACATTTTTTAAAACATACTGTTATCTTTAATTTTTAATCGGAAGAATTTTTTTTTACAGCTGTATAATAAAATTTTCATAGTTATAAAAATAAATATATCCAGAATTATATTCTTTAAAAAATTAAGACATTCATGTAGCTAAATTGCATAATTGACACGCCGTTTCAAATTCACAAAAACAAACAATGGGTTGGCTACATTGTATTTTTTATAGGTTAGGTTATTATTTTTCAGTGATAACAATTTACACAGTTTGTTTACAAAATTAAAATTAATATTACATTATAATATGATTGATGATGATTTTAATCTCAAAATGAAGTTATAATTAAACTTTTTATTTACAATTGCCATTTTTGAAGTGATTTTATATAGACGTAGATGATTTTTAAAATTAATTTTAATATTCGATTTTTATATTAATTGTTCGTTTTTAACTTATGTAATTACTTTAAAAATATTATATTAATAATCTGATTAAATGCATACTTTAGCTTATAAACATAATAATGCTCATGATGACAGCATTTGGACTTGTGATTGGGGTGAGATACACACTTCAAAACCTGTAAATAGAGATAACGACAGTAAAGATGATGAGTCTGATGATGAAATTCAAGAACTATCAACAGACTGTATAGTTACGGGTTCAATAGATGAGACTGTTAAAATTTGGAGTTATGATAAAACAACCAATTTAAATCTTGAAAAATCACTTAATGAGCATTCACTAGGTGTTATATCAGTTGCTTTAAATTCAGATTCATCAATAATTGCATCAAGTGCTTTAGATGCAACACTTATGTTATGGAAAACATCAACTGGTGAAAAAATAAAAACATTTTCAATAGGACCAGTTGAGTTATGGACAATAGCATTTTCACCTGATGATAATTATATAATATCAGGAAGTCATTCTGGTAAAATTAATTTATTTGGTGTTGAGACTGGAAAACAAGAGCAAACATTTGATACAAGAGGTGATTTTTATTATAATATTATATGTTTCTCTTATTAAAAACAGAATTTTTTTTATAGGAAAGTTTACATTGAGCATAGCATATAGTCCTGATGGAAAATACATTGCATGTGGTGCTCTTGATGGTATCATAAATGTATTTGATGTATTGTCTGGTAAGTTGACTCATACACTTGAAGGACATGCTATGCCTATCAGGTCATTATGTTTTTCATCAGACTCAAAATATCTGTTAACTGGAGCAGATGATGGTCAAATGAAGATTTATGCAGTTCACCATGCTGAAGTATTGGGTACTGTATCTGGACATGGGTCTTGGGTCCTAAGTGTAGACTTTTCTCCTGATTGCAAAAGTTTTGTATCTGGTAGTGCTGATAATACTGTGAAAGTATGGGATGTAGCTAATCGCAGTTGCTTAAATACTTTAAAAGAGCATAAAGACAAAGTGTGGTGTGTTAAATATAATTCGACAGGTGATAAAATGGTTTCTGTATCTGAAGATGCATCTATTAATATATATTCATCACCTTAAGAGCTATGTATTTTTTTTACCATCAAAATTAATTTGTAATAAATATTTTAATTTTGTATATTTACTCAAAATATTATTTAATATTATAATATTAATATAAATATTAAGAGTATTGTTTTCAATATTCTCTTTATCTTTTGTCACATCTTCTACCGCCACCATGATTTTAGTTTCTGAATCCTCGTTCTGCATTGTGTCAGATTTCATTTCATGATTACTAACTGGTCATAAATAACACCCATGCTTTTAATTAATAACACATAAATTTGCAATAATATTTATTGTATCAACAATAATTAGTATAATTATAGTTAATTTAAAAAAAATCATTAATGAATTTTTTAATACTGATTATATAAATCTGCACTACATTTACAAATGATTGTTATATTCGCTAATTAATTATACATTGAACTTAAAACGACATCTGTATGTTTCATTACCTAAAATGGATTTTCATTATAGGTTAAAAACTAACTATTCAAAATAAAAATTGTAATAATCGAACTTTAATTACAATGTTTAAATGATTAAGAAGCCAGAGCAATGTGTCGTATTTCAACTTAAGGTTACTTTATGCCCATGATATCATGAGCTATCACGGCAACTACTTAGCTCCTACTGAACATAAAGATTTTAAGTATAAATTTTATTAAGTAAATTAAATAATTGATTAAGTAAATTGATTAATTAATTATAATAAATTTTCTAAAATTTCACCTATGATATAAATTATTAAAAAAAAAAATCTCAAAATTTAATTTAAGTATTTAATATATTATATTTAAAATTCATACAATTTCTAAAAATCATATAGTAACTTCTTCTTGCTTACGTTTTATTTTTAGCTCTGCCATACCATGTTCCTCAACATCATTTTCTAATTTCTCACATCCCTCAAGAATCTCGTGAAGAGTATTGTCTTCCATATTCTCTTTTACTTTTATCACATCTTTTAACGCCGCCATGATTTTAGTTTCTGAATCCTCGTTCTGCATTGTGTTAGATTTCATTTCATGATTACCAACTGGACCTAAGTAACACTCCATTTCTTCTAATTAATAACACATTTAATTGTTATAATATTAATTATTAAATTGTGATATTTTCATAGATACTGTTCAATGAATATTACATAATTTATTGTATATGAAACATTTATTAATACATAATATTTAAGTATTAATTGTATTATCTTTTTAAATTCATACAATTTCTATAAACTGTATAGTACCTTCTTTTTGCATACGCTTTTCCGCTATTTTAGGCTCTGTCATACCAAGTTCGTTAACATTTTCTTCGAATTTCTAACATTCTTCAAAAATTTCATGAAGAGTATTGTCTTCCATATTCTCTTTTGTCATATCTATTAAGTCCGACATGAGTTGAATTTTTAAATCCTTGTTCTGCATTGTGTCAAATTTCGTTTCATTATTATTATCTGAACTTAAATCACTCTCTATGTCTTCCAATTAATAACACATTATATTATAAAAAAAAATCATTAATAAATTTTTTAATATTGATTTTATAAATCTAAACTACATTTACAAATGATTGTTGTATTCGCTAATTAATTATACATTGAACTTAAAACGACATCTGTATATTTCATTACCTATAATGTATTTTCATTATAGGTTAAAAATGAACTACTCAAAATACAGTTACTTCAAATTAAAATTCTAATAATTGAATTTTGAAATCCACGTATGTTAAAATGATCAAAAAGCCATAGTAATGTGTAATTTTTCAAATTTGAATTACTTTAGGATCATAATATCATGAGCTACTTTTGCCAACCGACGTAAGAATCTTTTTACCTTCATTGTAATTTGATTGTTTGCAAAAAATCAATGTATCAAAATACTTTTTTTACAATTTATTGTTACTGTCAGTAATAGAATACACACACAAAAAATTAGCTTTTCTCGACCAAAATTCAACAATAAACTAATATGTATTTGATAATAAACATTAATGTGTCCATATTAAATAATCCATGGAAACTTGATTTAGTATTTTGATGATTTGAAGACATTTAAATAATTGCATTAAATTAAGAGATTGGCAAACATAGAATTTTTAAAAAACTATGTGTCGTAATGAACAATTTATTTATTATTAAAAAATTACATAAAGTATCAGTTGTCTAATCTTAGGAAGTATTTAAATAATTTAAAAACTCATGTTAATAGATAATTATTAACTATTTATACGTAAAAAATATCATGCAAACTTGTAAAATATTACTTGTTTTAAAGAACCATTAGTTATGAATAATTTGAATTGTGGTTCATATAATGCTAAAGTACGATAGTATCTAATTTTAAACCAAAAACTCCATCTAATGGATACGATAAAAAAATAACATTTCTATAAACGTTATGTTTGTGTACATTACGTTCACACTTACATGTAGTAGTAAGTGTGACTTGAATAAAAACGTGTATTATAGCAGTCAGTTGTAACCAGTACGTCATTACCAAATATACCTCACATATATTTTTATTTAAAAAATTGTATTACTTTGAATTTATTTATTAATCGTAAAATAAGTACATAATAATATGTTTATATAAAATTACTTTTTAAGGTTGAAAAAAATACATTTAGTCCCCTCAAAAATGTTTTAATAGATCCAACGATTCCAGGTCTTAATAAAAACCTATCACCATCTTATTCTATTTGACTGAAACCCATGTCCGATGACAGAACACCTCATTGTAGGTATTCGTTTTAACTTTTCACGTGTAAATATGTTTTTGTTTTTTTAAAGAATTTCGAAAAAATTTCCAAGAAACTCCAATTAAAGACAATAATCATTTATTTGATTATTATTATCTTTTGCCAATTTACGTACACAACAAATATATATTTTTAACTTTTTCCAAAGTTTATTTATTCATAAGAAAAACGTTCAATAGTTGATGAATAAACGTATTAATGTAATGTATGGTATAATAAACGGATTTTCTGTAGTTATTTGAAAAGACTCGATCAAATTTTTTTTTAAGGGACACATGACTACGGGACATACAAAAAAAAATATTCTTTGTAACGTAATACAGACATGCAAATCACATTTGTTATTATTAGACTTGCTAATCGTTTTTTAAGATATACTGAAGATTGAATAGTCTTTTTTTCTTTTTCTTAGATACTTTCAAAGAACAAGCGCGTTTGTAAGACCGACAGAAAATATCGGTATTTTTAGAAAACAATTACAGAAAAATATGTCTGATAGTACATAAACCACGTCGTGATTGTTGAGTGGATTTCAAGTTTTAATTTTGGTCAAAAGTTACTCGGTATTTGATTGTTACTTACACTTATTATCTGATAAAATTGCTAATATAAACATTCCTCACTATAATCTAATGAAAATATTATTGTACTCTTCAAGATAATGTATCACTTATATATTTAATAAAATTTCACATAATTGCTACTTTTTTTAATTTCTTACATTATAATAGTACAATAACATTGATAAGCGTAACTAAGATGTCTAAGTTATCAATTGCTGAATTTTCAAGAATAATTAGAAAAATATCACATACTGTTTTTGAAAGGGTAGTTTTAATATGGTTCGTACTGGAAATTAATTTATGTTCTAGTTACACCAATGATAATGTTTATTATTATCATTGAAATACAGCGACTAATTAAATATTGGACACCTTAAGGAATCCAATATAGTTACAACTTATTTTAAATATTTTGTAAGATTGTGTCTTCTAAGATCAAAAATAACAAAAAAATGTTCAAAAGAAATGTTTAGGAAAAAGGTTTTTATATTATTAATATTTAGTAACTTATTACTTTTAGCTTCGATGCGAAGCTGAGAAGGTATTAATTTTACTATGATGTGTTTTTTTTTTTATTTTTTTATTTTTTTTTTNTATTTATAAAAACTATATTTATAAATACTAAACTTTATAGAATCACAATAATATAGAAACCCAAACGATTTATAATTCATATTTTTCGATTTTGAAAATTCTTGAAAATCTTTCAATGTTGTATATGTATGTAACATATAGTTTTGAAGTGTCAAAATTCGCAAATGTATGGAATAATCTAGCGATTATTTAGTGCACATCTAAAATTAAATCTAATTTTAAATAAGAATTATTTTACCATTTTATTCTATTACTGAAATAATTCAGTATTAGATGCATTTCAATAGATATAAAAATTTTATTAAAATGATCTACAAATTTGAACTCTTATGCTACACCATTAATATATAAATAAAAACACAAAACTCCACTTTCCTCATTCCCAAAATTCTACACGTAGAAGTATTTTTGACAACTCACGAATATTTAAACTGTTAACTTCATATAATAGAGAAGTATTATAACAAAAATGTATCTATTTTTTTGGGCAGTTAATGATTTTTTTGACAAAGATCACCAATTGAGTTGTCTTTATATTCAATAAATACAACATTTATTTTTTCTGTCATTTAATGTAAAACGAGAAATGATAACATCAGAATATGATTATTTATATATTTAAATGAAAAATTTTAATATTTCATATAACAAACATATTTAAAAGACTTATGTTACATATTAATATAACCTACTGACGGTCTCTCCGGTGGTAATAATTTTGTCAGTTCAGTTCCTAATTTTCTACCGATCATTACTTTAATCATAAACTCGGCTTGTTGAAACGGTCTGAATGTCGCCGGAACTATAACATAGCTTGCCAAGTTTGATACCACAAATGTTTCAGAGATTACTTGTTTTGATTTGAATGGTCCGGAACTTCCTTCCGGTTCTGTGCACAAAAAATATTCGGCGCCTAACGTTTCTTTCTGGTGGCAGTCATTCTAGACAAAAAGTATATATATAGTGAATACTTAAAAAAAAATATTTCTCTTCGATATTTTATTATACTTTGAATGTTTAGCTTGATATCGAGATACACATTATAAACAAAATTTTATAAAATATATTATCCTTTATTAAATATATTAAATTAATTATTAATTTACTAATTTTTTACAACTTAAGTATATATTTGTTTAAATTTATAATTAAACTATATATTAAATATTTTATTTTTTAAGCTTAAAATATGTGATATATTGTTGTATATTGTCTACGATATACTTTTTAAATTTTGGGTAAAGTTAAAAAAAAAAAATGAAGGAATAATAAAAAATAATTGACTTATATGTTAGAATAATTTTATCATGATTTGAAAAAATATTGTAGTACTTACTTTGTATAAAAAAAAAGCAACAAATAATGGAGATTTTTTGTCTAGACGTTTAACTTTTAACAATATTTTTATTGTAATAAATAAATTTTCCTCACCATATACTAAAACAGTTGTATAATTTTTAATTTTAAAATCATTTAAGTTCAGATAATTTTTTTTTAAACTTATTTGTGTACCAACCGGAAGGAAATTTGAGCAAATACTGTGGGTTGGTTTCAAACATGTCTAAATTATTTCTAGATCCTCCTGCATTTAGACCATAAATCCAACTGCCATGAATAGATACTACTTCAGGGAAACCCTGTATTTTAAAAGTAAAAGTCCTATTTTAATTAATAGAAAAATTTAGACAATTTAATATTACTTTAGTATTGTTGTAGTCATCTTGTAAGGTATTTGAAAACAATTTACTGCCATGTTCTTCACAAACGTCAACTTTTTCAACCTACAAGAATAAACATTTTTTATATAATACTTATTATTAAAAAAAAAATAATACATTTTTATTACACGATATATGTTTACCAATTTTCTTAGTAGTTTAATTCTGAATCAATCCAAATTGTCGATATTTTAATGAAAAATAATTATAAAAAAAAGAGTAAAAATTAAATTCAAATACCTCATAATCCCATAATGGATTTATTTGAGTTCCTGCTTTATTCGTTGTGGTATTTATATATTTTGTGTTTTGTCTCGTATTCTTTATTATCTGATTTGTTAATTATCAAGTACTTTTTGGGTTCATTTCACATACTTTATGTGTGTAATCTTTATATTTTTAAATATGCATATTTTAATAAATTAAATGTTAGAAAATGATCAATTAAGAAAATTACTAGTCAAAAACAATTTTTAAGATAATATTTTGGTAATTATTAATACTTTTAATCATACACTGTAGGTAAAGTATAGCCTACGTTATTCTTACACTAGACATTTTTCGATAGTACTCTTTACTAGGTATAAAATTTTAAATATCATAGGAAATACTGGACGAAAATTCATTTGTAGCAGTAGTATGTAGTAATTAAGTATGTTCCCATTTAAACAAAATTAATGAACTTGGTATTCTTATAAAAGACAAAGGTAGACATAAAAAGAATTTAACTACTTATAAATTAATATTTAAATACTACTAAAGTAAGCTAAAAAACTATCAAAATTTGTAATATTTCAGAATAAATAATGTCATCATCGATAAATACTACATCAAACTACAAAAAAAATTACATTAATTGAAGCTTCGAAAGTATTGGCGTACTGTAAAATAATCAATTAAATTAACTGAAATTTGGTTTACATAAAAACAAATGTTATAAATATATATATTCATTTATAATAAGTTATTTCAATATAAAATTTAAAAAAAATACATTAATATCGACTGCTGTTTTATAATAATTATAAAATATTTTCCTTAATTACGGGAAATGAGGGGAATTTTCGAAAACTATCATGCTTTAGATTCAACTAGATACCATTTGTGATTCATTGATGTATCGTTGAACAAAATCGGTGTAGTACAATTAAATCCAAAATGATTAATTTCTTAAGTAATTCTATTATAAGCATTTGTCATGGAATGTTAAAAACATACTGAAAATTAAATTAAATTGCGATATTTTTTGTAAAGTTTACATAGACTTAATAATAATACTTTTTACAGGGCACTTTCTTTTTGGCCTCAGGTTCACATAATTACAATGATTATATGGCAATACAATTAAATAATGACCTCTTTTTATTCTATGCTGACTTTATATAACTATAAAAAGAAAAACTTACAAATATTTTTTTTTTTGGTACATAAAATATATGACTTATGTCTAAGTCATATGTTTATGATCGAAAGTTTGATTTTATATTGTTAAGAGTTAAACAAATAATTTTACGGTTTTGTTTTTAAAAAATAAAAGCGTTTATCCAATCAAATTAATTTCAATTAGTTTTAAGTAGTTAACTTAAATGTATCATTTCTGTAACGAAATGAAGTAATTTAATTACTTAAAAATGAAATAACATATGGATAATTAAATTACATTTATTNAAAATGAAATAACATATGGATAATTAAATTACATTTATTTCATTACTTTATTTTTACTAACACATTAATAGAAAATAATTATAGTTCCATTAATTTTGTTTTAGAAAATCATTTTTTTTTTCATTTTTGTGGGAATCATAATTTTTTACAAAAAAAAAATATATATAATTATGCAATAAAGGTCTTTAATTTGCTGAATGGACTTTTTTTTTTAAATATAACTGAGTAGAAAATGTTATTGTAATACTTCCTTCTGTCTATTTCGTGTAACGAAATAAAATTTGTATAATATAATAAATGTTCATAATTATAACCATTTTAATATAAATAATTAATTAATTGCTACATAAAAAATTTCCGAATGCCCCGGGATTTTATATAGAATTAGTTAGTTTATAAAAAACTACTTAAATATATTTAAACAGTTGATATGAAGGGTTATGTGTGATTCAGTTCAATGTGTAATACTAATTTTTTTTGTCTTTCTTTTTTATAGTAATGCATAAAATTATGTGACATTGGTTCAAACATACAATTTGACAAAATATTTGAGAGGTTTAATTTAATTTCTCTTTTTCTTAAAAAATATTTCTATAAAAAAATACATGTAATTTTCATAATATTTGAGGGGCTTAATTATCTCTTTATTATTATTATTATTATTTAATGTAATGTGATTTCATTATATTTGAAAATAAGTAACAGGATTGTAGTTAAATTACTTTTTGAAAGTGTACAATTGTTACACTTTTTGAGATGAAAAAAGTACTAAGGCCAAAAAACATCATTATTTGTAGAAAATACCGTAAATAAATAACCGAAAAAATGTTTGTATATTATATGAATAACAAGGAAAACAAAGAGATGATTTCATAAATTCGCCCAGCTTAGATAAATAGATTTGTGTTTTTTAATTGAGTTTAATGACAAAGAACTATTACAATTTTACCGTTTAAGTTGTAATTTTATTGCTTTTTAAAAGTAATTTGTCTAAGACAACTTTTAGCATGACTAAAATTTTATGCATTTATAAATTTTGTTAAATTATTCGGAATACACGATCAACCAGTATAAATTTTTATTGACTTGAAAACTTAATATGTTGTTACCAAAGTTAGTTTTGGGAGATTAAATGAGTTTATTCCACTAAAATGAAAAATATTTGTATGCTATATTATAATCCAAAGACAAATTTGCCTAACCCTGAGACCCTTCTATGTGGCTCAAACAAAATTTAATGACAGAAAAACTTATTTTCTTTTGGCCTCCACGTGAGTTCTACCAGAGGAGGGCATAAATTTAGTATGCATTTTTTTAATGAATAAAATGAAAACTTTTATTTGAAACAAAAGCAAGGCGCCGATAATAACATAAATATTTTGTACTAAAATTAAATCTAAACTTAATTATCAATTTTAATGTTTAATTTAATTCTCAAAAATTTTATGTCTGTTTTGTTTTTTAAAAGAATAAAAGAATAATATCAATAAATTCTTAAGGTCTAACTATTTCATAATAGGAATAACTACCACAAAAATGTATTGTGATATTTCTATAGAAATCAGCATTAAAGGCTAAATTTTAGGCTATAAAATAATATAAATTCCAGTAAAATAACAAAAATAATGTTTTATGATACTCACTAGCTATTGTTATAGTAAATTGCTTTTCAAAACTAATGTCAAAAAGTAAACCGTAAAATAATCAATAAAAAATAATTTATTCTTTTTGACCTCACGCTATCAACACTATAATTTTAATTTATTGCCTGTTTTCCTTTATCAACACTAAGTATAGACACTATGTGACTCCCCTAACGTTGGATGGGTACTACTCCTTATTTTTCTATTAAAATATTAATTTGTTTAGGTATTTTAGATTAACTTCAGAAAATGAATTATTAAAAAATACCATATACTCTTTGAAAGAATATTAACTTTGACAAAATAAAAGAGCTACTTTTTAAAAAAAAAAGTTGTCCCTTAACAATAATATATTTTTTAACTTTTATGAAAAGTCTTAAAATAGTTTAGCTTTTTATGGTATTATTTTATTACAAAAAAAAAAAAAAAATGCAATTGATAAGATAAATAAACATTTGACCTTACACGTATAAAAAAGTAGAGTAGTTTGAGTGAAGCTCAAAACACGCAATTGGAGTATATCCAAGAAAAGAGGTTAGTGGTTTTATATAAGATAATTAGAACACGTATAAATTATGTAGCTGTCTACAAGCAAGAGCTTGTACAAAAAAATTATGTTATTTCTTTGTTTATGCTTTACTATCATTTTTAGGTAATGTTACTTGTAAAAGTTATAAAATTATAGAAAAGTATTGATATATTATTATTCATGCATTAAGTTCTAAAAATTTGAATTTGTTTTTAATCCGTTGAACAAAAATAATAATTCATATTATTCATAAATAATTCAGTAAAATTTTGCTTTTAAAAACAATAAGTAATTATTTTTAACAACTAAAAATAAAAATTTATAACTCTTGGTGGTGGACTTTAGATTTATTGTTGAACTTTTATTTAGCATAAGAAAACAGTCAAAATATCAGTGAATTCAATGACTGCAATAATTAAATAACTTTAGGCGAATTTATTAATAATAAAATCCACATTGAGTCATACAAATTAAATTAAATTATAAGTATATTTATGAAAAGGATTATAATTGAAATTTATGTCTAATAAATTTAATTCATGCATTTTAACGTTTGTGCATAATCAACTGGATTTGTATGGACTTTTCTCTGGTACTCGATTAAAATTCTAATTTAGCTAACGTGGGGCTCTTCCCCAACTACCCCATCGAAATTCATGCGATGAACAAATTATTTACTAGAAGTTGTACTTTTTGATGGATATTAAGTAAAAAACATATCATAGAATAAGAAAATATTGTTGTTATTAGCAACAATAATTTTAACATTTCAGCACAGCAACCTAAAAAGAAATTCAGTTACGTCACTGGTTTACCTACGTATAAATAATTATTTATTAAAAATGTAAATAATAGAGTAATTAATTACTTTGTTTTTTTCTTGTGTTTAAAACTTGAGCACTCTTTTATAATAATATGATAGAAGTAAAATAGATTAAGATAATAGTATTTTCAAGGAATATGTTTTAGCTTGTTATAATTTATAATTTTAGTAGTTTTCAGATGCCTAAAATCTTTCATTCAACTACGCAAAAAATTTTCCCAACTGCGCAAACAATATTCAACTGCACTTTAAATTATTGCCTAATAATTCAAAAATAAATTATAACTTTATTTTTAACACTCTTACTATTAAAAAAATATAAGTTTTAAAATAGTGAATTGTTTAATTAAAATTTTATTTTAAAAATAAAGTTTTATAAATTAATTTAAAAAATTGAATAACTGACTTTCCTGTATCCAATGATATAATAAATTAATAATAATTTAACATAATTAGTAATAAAATTATCAAACTCATAAGTTATATGATATATGTATTTCAAAATATTAATATTCATTGATTCTTCACTTTTAATCATTTTTATCACGTTTTTGCAATATAATTCATAATACACTGTGATTTATTTTTGTATTTTACATTGATGTGGATCAATGATATACATTTCTTTATTTTTTTCTATATATTTTAAAGTTATTTTTAGAAGCTTTTATATCTCCACAATATAATAGATTAGTCAGTGAAAACATACCAATCGTCATTTGTGTTTTATGAAGTTTTTCTATCAACATTTTTTTAAATTGATAATTGTACAACTTCAAGAATTATAACATGATAACAAGAATATACGTGCCCTTTGAAATTAAATTATAAACATTTTTATGTGAAATATTTGATTTTAACTGCGAGCGTTTGTCAAATATAATAAAAAATCTGTACATTTTACTATTTTGAAAAATCGACCACATTTTTTGATAACTGATAAATATAAAAAAAGTAGTTAGTACTTAATTTATATGAACTTTTACGAATCATATGCAAATAACCAAATACTACCCTTATTGTCCATTTATCTACCCATAGTAGATACGGTTTGAAATTGTCTGATAGAGCTGACATGTTTTTTTTTTTTTTTTGGTTAATTTTTATACATATATAAACAATTTTGGAGCGTCTTTTTTAATTTTTTTTTTTTAGCTTCGATGCGAAGCTGAGAAGGTATTGGTTTTACTAAGATGTGTTTATTTTTTTTATTTTTTTTTTTTTTTTGTGTCTGTTACCACTTTTTCTCAGCTCTCACCGAACCGATTTCTTTCAGTGATACGTCAAAAGATCACAAATCGTATCTAGTCGAAGACATTACCCTTAAAAATTGAAAAAAATTCCCTCGTTCCCCGTAAATGGGGGAAACCTCCAAAAAAATTACAAATTTAAAAATTACTAATTTTCAAAAATTTTTCAATTTTTTTTACTTAAAAGTGCCATAACTTTTTCAAAAATGAACATATCAATATAATTCTATTTTATATAGATGCATAATATCATTACCTTTCATTTGGTATATTTTTTTCATAAATTTAACCCTTAACCTGCCCACCAGGGGGGATTTAAAATGACAACTTTTTCACAAAAAATTAATTTTTTTAACTTAAATTTTGAAAATGTTCCGGAAGGTCTGACACTTTTATATATATCTTAAATTAAAGCTAATGTAATATGCTTTATCATGAAAAAAAAAAATTTCGGACTTTATCTTATCTTCATGGTGAAAATGGCTACCGAATGCTATTTTTGTGTGAAAATTTTCGATTTTGTATTTTCCATTTTTAACTTTATTATGCTATAACTTTTTGAAAAATGTATGAATCATTACAATTTTTTTATGAGAAGTAGTATTTATATAGATCTTTCATTCGACATACTGTTTTTTTAAATCGGACCATTTCCCTAAATACAGGGGGGATTCAAAACATAAAAATGCATATAGAAAGTAGAACTTTTTCAACTTAACTTTTGAAAGTGTTCCGGAAGGTCTGACACTTTTATATATATCTTAAATTAAAGCTAATGTAATATACTTTATTATGAAAAAAAAAAATTTCGGACTTTATTTTATCTTCATGGTGAAAACAGACATCAAAGTTTATAAAAAAAATACGATTTTTGTAAAAAAATTCATTTTTATATTTTTAACTTTATAATGCTATAACTTTTTGAAAGATGTATGGATCAATATAATTTTTTTTTTATAGATGCATGATGTCTTTACCTATCATTTGGTATATATTTTTTTCATATCTGACCCTTTACCTGTCCACAGGGGGGGATTTAAAATGACAAATTTTTCACAAAAAATTTACTTTTTCAACTTAAATTTTGAAACTGTTCCGGAAAGTCTGACACTTTTATTTATATCTTAAATTAAAGTTAATGTAATCTACTTTATTATGCGAAAAAAAAATTTCGGACTTTATTATATCTTCACGGTGAAAATGGCTACCAAATGCTATTATTATGTGAAAATTCTCGATTTTATTTTTTACATTTTTAACTTTATAATGATATGACATATTTAAAAGTGTATGGATGAACATTATTTTTTTATAAGAAATAATATTTTTTAATAATCCCTTTTTCATTCGATATACTTTATCTTAATTAGGATATTAATAATGAACTAGATGATCATGTAGCTTTTGGTATAATCCACCAATTTTTTAAAATTAAACACTATCTAAAGATTTGCATCGAAGCGTTTATTTTTCATAGTGATTTTAATCACTGTCAGATATCATTATACTTGATCCATCTATGCCACGTCACCACTGTGCTGGTTTTTTTTATTAATACTTATTAGAATACAAGGCGTAAAAAAATAATGATCTCAGTTTATTTTATGTTTTGTTTGTAAATAAGTGAAAATCAGTTATATTTCAAAATGTCATATACCGAAATAAATATAACCAGTACGATTATTGTCAAGCTACGTACTATACCTGCGTCACTTTGGTAATACGATGAGCTGGGAACGCACAATTTTTGGTCCACGGTTGACGTCCAACATGTCCATTGCTGTCAGCTGTCCGGTCAGGTGAAGACGTTGCCGAGCTACCGTCGTCCCTCGATGCTGACGACTTGCTATCGGAATGTCCACATCCCATGATGGCCGCATGACCCACCTACGCCGACCCGGGCAAACAAACTACAGACGAGACAACAACCGGGACACGGTCCACATATACACGATTCGTCGCCACTTTGCCGTCCGACAACGACGCTGTCGCTGTACTCATTTATAATAGAAGCATCGCGTGCTTGTATTCACATACACACCGTCGAGGGACACACCTCTTTATGTTTGTACATGGATTTTCTACTTTAGTGTTTGGACATCGATTTTTCAACTTTTACATGAATAGGAGGGTATTACACGAAACACTTAACTACACGTTTGACACATTTTTAACTGGAATCGACAGCACCATGTTTGCAATGATATCATGAAAATGTTTTCTATGCTGAGTTCAACATGTTTTATTTACACGTGTACTAAAAGAAGTTTAACGGATTTATAAAAGTAAAGTAAAGTAATCCCAAATCTCAAAAATATGTCGTTAAAGTTCATATTTTTGTTCAATACATGAACGCATTTAAGACAGTTGAGGCGTTTAGAAAATGTATGTGCATCGAATACGAGTAAACATTATAATGACTCTTGTCATTAAGATTATCAATCAAGCAATGCCGGTGCAAGCGGGGAACATGCCCCGGGCCCCGCGGTCGGCTTAGTTTAATTTGTCATTTGCCTATCTACTTTTTTGTGGGTTGAGAATTGGATTTTTATTGCCATAACGATTCGCACCAGTGAATTTGCAANAAAATAAAATGTCTTTAAAAATTTCAACCCAGAAATAGAGATAACTACTGGGGCCCTTCACGACTAACTTGCCCCGAGCCCGGCAAAACTTTGCGCCGGCACTGCAATCAAGTGTTGTTACATGCTGACAACCATATGTATGTTTATAGTGCTTAACATAAAATGTTAAGTCGATTTTTATTGCCATAACGATTCGCACCAGTGAATTTGCAATATATATTTTTGAGCAGTGACTTATATTACAACCAGATACGNATTGGATTTTTATTGCCATAACGATTCGCACCAGTGAATTTGCAATATATATTTTTGAGCAGTGACTTATATTACAACCAGATACGTGTACCCCATTGGTACACTGCACAAGATATAATCACAGATAAGAAAAAGCTTTATCTTATCTGCGATACACATTAAGAAAATCCTGTTCATGATTCCTGTTGATGATGGAAACAAGCGATTAAACCAAACAAATAATAAAAAATTAAGAGTTTTCTACTAATCGCGTTACTGATAAATGTATCCATTTAGTAATTATTACTGCTGAAAAATAGCTTAATTTCACAGGTATTTATACTTCTGAACAAGTTATGCGGTTTGTTTTTGCCCTAATACGGAAATTGTGTTAAGGTCGAAAGTTTAAAAAAAAATAAAATAATAGTTTAATGCCCATGTATAAAACTTTTAAATATTTAGAAATCATTGTGGCGCGCGGAAATTAAATTAGCCCAGTAGCGTCATAGAGCTGGTACTAGGCGTGTACAAAGTATGCTCTGCGCTTGAGAACGTTACCTGCACAAGCTTCCAGGGGCGGACTTAGGTATGTGGTGGCCCCTGGGCGGAATGCATTGTGGGGGCCCCTTATACATGAACAAGGAAATGTATTTTTTTACTTATTAAATAACAATTATTATCATATTTGTGATACCAATGTATACCAAATTTGTGGGGGTCCCTGGGCTGCAGCCCACTCAGCCCTCCCCTAAATCCGGCCCTGCAAGCTTCACCATTAATTAAAATTAAATGCACAAATCATTCTTTTACTCGTATAGTCTTTGTGCATATGAACTATATGTATAAAATAATATTCTTAAACGCATAACAAATCTGCAGCTAATATTGTATAAGAAATATAAAATATAGTGAACCATTATTTATCGATTTATTTACTTATTTTAATTAATAAGTAAAAAAAAAGTCATTAATTTTTATAACGGACCCAGAATATAATATATATATATATATATATATATCTAATTAAGAAAATTACTAATCGATAACAATTTTTGGAACAGTACTTCAAAAGTTATAACCATTTTTATATCATGATAGGAAGAGGAGCGAGGCCGAGAAATATCTAGTGATATAAATAATAGTATCCGCTCCTCACCACCATTCAATACTTTATATTGTTAATAACTTCTGAAATATTCGTCCAAAATTTGTTATCGACCAATCATTTTCTGAATTATATATTTTTTTATTCAATTATCTAGTTAGATATGTATATTGCTTTATAAAAAAATTAGGTTGACACTCTAATAAGGTATAAAGGATGAATTAAAAAGTTATTTTCTTAGCATAATTAATTCTTAAAAAGAAACGTTGATAGCGTTAAAACAATCTCATTGTATAAAAATTACTACAAAATATTTTTAATATTGTTATAAGTTGATATAGTATTACTTGTTATATATTATCTATAATATATAACAATATATTATAGATGATCTATAGTATTTTGCATTGATTTTTTTTTACAAACAGTTAATTCATTTGATGACACTCTTTTTTCAAGGGTCTATATACCGCTTCCCCGAAAATAATACCAATAGATTAGTCGTTTTATGAACATCCAGCAGATAAATAATAAACTGTATTGTATCAAAACTGGTGTATAACAATAAAATTTTAAATTTGGCATAACTATTACATCAATTATTGTTTTTCATAATAATCAACATTTCAAACGCAAAATCAGTTTTATGTTTCTTCAATAGAAATTAAACAATAATAACTTAAAACTACAAATTATTTTATTTATCATCTTATTGTTTTATTAATTTATACGTGAGGCGTAAAAAACACGTAAAATTTAAAAATGCGAAGAATCAATTTTTATTAATAATACATAATTTTTTGTATCTTTGACACACTTTTTACCTCACACAAACATATTAGTAGTGTAATAAAAAAGTTATTTATATTTATAAATAATTGGACGTCTTTAGTTTTTAAGGAAAAATGTTGGAAAAGTATTATGAACACCTTCAAAGAGGGTCATAATATTAAGAGACATTGTCTTATATTATCAAAATCGAAGGAATACGTGTATCTACTACAATCAACGATATTTTTAATACATTTTCAATATATTTTATTAATAATTAAGTGTCATTCAATATAACAAATATGTTTCATTAATTTCATATTTGAGTAAATATACTTATAATAAATCAATACTACCAAATGTCGTTTTTATTTTTCAACAAATGGCATTGTTACTTTTATAAATTTGTTGAACATGACTAATGCAATTGGTTCATCTCAGAAATCTATTACGTCATATTAAGAATACAATACATTTAAAACATAAATATTAAAAACTCAACTCATTTAACGTTTACTCTGTTTAAGAGAATCAGAGAATGAATCAAAATACAATTTTTTTCATTGTGAATCTTTATCACTTTAGTATTTGACTTTTTAAAATGACGAACTTAAAATATGTAATTTATCTCGTATTACTTATTGTCGATGTTAAATCAGCAGAAATAAATCGATATGTTAATCAACTAAATATACTATTCAATAGAGACAGATGGAGAAATCTATGGAAGATAGCCGATGAAAATGCAAGTCTCATTGACAGAAGCACCAAGCCTGAAACTGTGGTTAATTTGGTCAAATTGTTTAGTGGTAAGCCCACTGTAGTTACGGAAAGCAATTTTAGTTCTAAAGTGCGTCACTCACATTTGGCGCTGAGCATATTTTATGCTCTGCAACTTTTAGACATAGTAGACTCAGAATTAGTTTACATGGATTATTGTAATCAACTAATGAAGGAAAATAAATGTGCAGATCGTTTATTTGATATCATAAAACCTTTAGACATTCAATTAACAAAAATGTATAATTCATTGTTATTTTTTTGGAAAATTTTAAATAATACAGTTACGGAAATTACAGAATCTATTAATTTGCTAAAAAACGATGTATATGATGCAATATTAAATTTAAAAAAAGTTAGTCCCAACAATAGTTTTGAAATAATAAAGACTCTCAAAAATATTTATAAGATGACAAAAAAATTTATAAGAAAAAGTATTGTTCCATTACCACTGGGCACAGGAAAAAATGAACAAACGAAATCTGAAAAAGAAATTTTAAGTATTTATAAAAGCACAGAAAAACCAAGTCACAAATTAGAACTTTATAAGGATCATCTGGCAAACCTCATAATAATGTATAGTCAATATAATAGTCGTTTAGGTTTTAATTTTGAAGATGAAAATTTAATTGCTAGTGTAAACATGACATTAAATGAACCATTACCTTTTGAATACATTAAACTTCAATCAAGATTGTCGACTTTTGAATAATGGTGAACATTTCTAGTTTTAAATGAGTATTCTAATTAACTATTTTTTTATGAATTAATCATAAAAATTAATTAATAAAACTAAATAAGTAATACTTGTCTTTATATTTTAATTTTTAGATAAAATTAATAGTATATAATTAAAGTACGGATTTGGACGCACATTAAATTTTTTTTAGGGTTATCGTAGGTTATGCTCTCCAAGCACAAAATTCAATTTATGAAATGTAGAATTTAGAAATTAAAATTTTATTTGAATTTTTTTTTAATTATTGTCGTTTTGTATGATTAAGAGAGCATGATTAAATAAAAATTAATTTTGAAATTAATTTAGATTAATTAAAAGTGTATTTGGCGAAGTGACGAAAATTTTATTTATTTGTATTATATATTTTTAGGTTATCTGTTAAAATATTCATAAGTACAATTTTGAAGGGGTTAGCTATACACAATTTTGTAAATTACCTAACTATCGCCAAAATATTTTATTGAAATTATGTCTATAGAAATATTGTATTTAAATTACTGTATTTTTAAAATGTCTATAATATATTTTCAAATATTAACTATAGTTCATTTATTTTTTCCTTTTTAGTTTTGATGGTATAATTTTTTTTAAATATATTTTATTCATTAATCAATCGCAAATAAAAGACAATCTAAAATTCTATATGTGTTTTAAAGTTGGATAAACTATCAAGAGTATCCTTTAACTTAGCCTTAGATGCAAATTAAACTTTTTTTTAACTTATTATTACTGATGTCATTTAGCTTGTAATACAAATGTAAAAAAAAGATTGCGATATCAGTTTATTCAATGTATATTATTAATTAATTAAATGGCATATTTCAGCTAGTTCTTATATCCTAAGTAATTAAATAACTTATTTTTCATTTAGTAATTGTGACGTAAAAATTGATTTACTATTATTTAATAATATTTAAATCTAAAATACCCTAAATTAAGTAGGGTTGTGTATAATATGTATAATTTTGAGTAACCAGGAGTAATAGTGTGCACTTTTTTTTTATCGCTTGTAACTTGTAGTGTATGGTAGTTA